AAATCTGGCACGAACTTTTCTCAATGATTTGATTCTATAAAAAAGAAGTTCTTGGACAAAAAAGACTTTTTATTTGTTCAACACATTAAGGGACTTCGACGTGGTTGTTAGCACGCATGTCTCGTTTGAACAATGACGATTGAATAGTGACTTCGGTCCTCGCTGGGTGCCCCAATACTTTCGGCCTTGTGCCACATCTACGCTTAGAGAATCGTCAGAGAAAAAAACTAATGTCCGTCATGTGTGTCGCTTATGCGGCAATGAATAAAAATACATAGAATAAATAATAATAAAACAACGGGAAACGGTGGTTTTGAATGAAACGATATTAAACGTGAAAACATGTCGGTTGTTCATGTCATACTTCACGGTTGTTGGTCACCTGGTCTTTGTTGTGTAAGATTTTGGCCCGTGACGAACGGGTGACAAGAGAACGGTACGGAGGGGGGGGTCTGTTAATTGGGCAAGAAGCTGAAGTAAAGCAAACCACTGACGGTTGCCACTGGGTTTGGCATCTCAGGACAGGGAAAGGGGGCACTGTGGAAATATAATTGGGGACAACAGGCAGTGGCAAGGGAAGCCGGATGTAAAACGAAGTTTATGTTTGAAAAAGAAAATAAATAAATAATTTTAATTTCCTTTATTTTTTTTTTCTTTCAATCCAAAATGATTACTTGAACTTTTTCTTTTTTGCTGTCGAGTTTTATATCTTTATATAAAAACCGATAGCATAAAACATTATTATTGCTAAAAGTTTTAAGAAAAAAAAAACGAACAAAACAAAAATAAAGCAAAAAAGAAAAAAAAGAAAAAAAAGAAAAAAAAAGAAACAATTATTATTACGCTATATTATTTTGGTTAATTTGACAACTTAAACTTTTTTAGTTATCGTATATTTCCGCGTATAAGGCTACCTTTAGATAAGACGAGGTCAAAAAATATAACAAATTTTCATGAATTTATCCTATACCTGTACTAAAAGACGACTGCTTATTGATCATATAAAGATGATGCTATTGGAAATGTTGTTACTTACTTACTATATCCTTAGAAATTCAAAATAAACGAAATAACAAAACCAATTCTGTATCATGTTTTTTCTACACACGTCACTTAAAATGGAAACCATTGTTTTGTTTACGTTTTATCACGTGATCTCTTGTGAATACTGATTCTTCTTCTTCTTCTTCTTCTTCTTCTTCTTCTTCATCTATATCTAATAGATATCATTCTTCTACTTATTTTTCTTCTTTCTTCTTCTTCTTCTTCTTCTTCTTCTTCTTCTTCTTCTTCTTCTTCTTCTTCT